TTTGTTTGTATTACAATCAGTACGGTTATTTATATACATCAAGAATAAAAGTGGACCCAACACAGAACCCTGTGGGACGCCACGTGAAACTGTCGTTGTACTGGAGGTAATGTTGTTGAAGGTTACAAGTTGCTGTCTGTTGCTCAAATAAGATGACATGAGCCTAATGCTACTATGGAAATTGTAATGCGTCAAATTTTAGAAGAACGTCATGTTGGACACAATCGAAGGCTTAGTAAAATTAAAAAAATTACCTAGGCAATGAGCACCTGCATTTATTTTCTCAATGAAGCTTTCAATAGCTAGACAAGTAGACTTACCTGATCTGAAACCGAATTGATAGTCAGTAAATATATTGTTGCTTTCAAAATAGTCAATCTAAAGTATCTTAGCAAGTAGAGGAAGTGAAATAGGTCTCTGATTTTAAAGATCATTGGAATCGTCTTTTTTGAAGAGGGTGATAACTTTTGATAGTTTGAAAATATCAGAAAACATGCTGTTTGAAACACACCATTTGAATACTTTCTTCATAGTATAATAATGTTATGAATGCTTGTAATAATTTTTGTATTACAACCGAAAACATCAAAACTTTTAGATGTATTTAATTTAGTTATCGCTGCCCTGACTTGATTGTAAGCAACCTCTGTAAAACAAAATATTCTGTTTGAGTTACCTCATGCAAATAGCTCGTAAGCGTTGAAGCTGAAGGTGGAATTTGGTCTAATAGATTTTTTCAATGTTAGTAAAATAAAGATTAAAGTTAGACGCGCTAAGCGTCATGCTACCGTGTTTGCCTTTTGTTGGTTTTTAGTTTTAATAATATTTTTAATATAACGATCACTATCTTGCTTATTGGCTTGATTTATCGCACGTGAGATTATACATTCCGATAAAAGCCACGTCACTCAGTTCCATCTGTCGGTCTGTGAGCCTGTCTGTCTGTCGATATGTCCGTTAATCATTGGTCCCCCTTTTGCTTGGTAAATACCGTTCGGATTTTGATAAAGTTTTAGCTACGTTATCAGTCGCCTGTCTGTTTTTGAGGCTTGTGTAGAGCGAGGAGGTTAGATGGCGAAGGTAATTTACTTATGTACGAGGTCGGTAAATTAAGTGATCGATCTGGAAACGCAGGGGAAACAGGGACCTTCAGTACAAGTTTGAACTCGCTCGAGACATTTCGTTGTCCGTAGCCATTTTTTTGTGGAGCAGTTTATTCTATTGTGTTCTAAAAATGAGTGACAACAATTTCAAGCAACCTGCGGTTCCTCAGCCTCCTTATTCACCTGACTTGGGTCAGTGTGACTTTTTTCTCTTCCCGAAGTTGAAAAAGTACCTCAAGGGAACTCATTTTGGTACAGTCGAAAACATAACCGACCAGCTGAAGGCTATTCCAGTATAGGAACTCCAGCACTGCTATGAGGAGTGTAAGAGCCGTCTCCAGCGCTATTTGGCTCAGAAGGAACTTATTCTGATTAACAATAAGGATTTTTTCGCGAGTCCACGGTGCAACACAGTGTACTACCGGGAACCGATACTCAAATTTTCACGAAGAACGGGAATAGAGGAAGACGGATGTGACGTCGTCCGAATATCAACAAATCACGTGGTACGGGTACCCGCCTAGCGTCTGTGAGGTACTAGAGGGTGACAGGTCTTATGTCAATTGCATTTAAAAAACAGGCATCATATCTACTTTTTGAAGCACCTTCCATCCCAAAACTTCAGAAATGAGATGGAAAAAGTGCTACCACAGCTGCAAAGATTTGAATCCACAAATTAAATTTATGGCGCTTGCTACACTACCCTCCATTAACACTCAGACTATATCGTATTATATACTGTGTTGTGCATAATATATGTTGTGAATTCTGTTGATGTTAAAAAAAGCACATGAGGTTAACTTTTTAGGGGGAGGTGAAAAATGGCCCTGCCAATCCTCTTTCCTTTTGGAATGTTGTCGTTTTTATATTATATTTTTATGTATAAACATTCCAATAAAAATTATTATTATTATTATTATTATTATTATTATTATTTGGAAATTTGTCTTCGCAGTGCCGAAAATTGAGTTAAATTATTAAATCATAAATTGAGGAACACGTCCACCTGATTTTGAATGACGAGAAAGTCATCGAAGATATATGAACCGCACTTGTCATATCAAATGGGTGATTTTATTGATATATACAGGGTTCGTCCGGAAAGTAATAGGACTGAGTCGATTTAAAAAAATTTATTGAGCCAATCGTTACAGTTCTTTAAAAACTTTCAAAATATGCTCCTTCTGCGTCGATGCAGATTTCGAAGCATTGAAGGCGTCACGCAAGGCATTCTCCGGAATAGCCTTGAGAGCCGCGGTGCATGCTGCTTGGATCCCCTCTGTGGTCTCAAAATGCTTGCCTTTCATCGGCCTTTTCAGGCGAGGAAACAAGAAAAAAGTGGCGTTGTCGTGGTGCAACTTCCAGTCGACTGTGATGTCTTGTCGGACCCGACTGACCCTTCGTTTGAGTCTCCTGAGCACTTCCACGTAAAACTTGGCGTTGACGGTTTGTCCAGGAGGAACAAATTCATGGTGGACGATGCCTTTGATGTCAAAAAAGACAATAATAAATGGCCTTTATTCGTCACACGATTACAAAATAATTGGTTTAAATAATTGGTTTAAAAGGAACAGTGACGAAAAGGTGGAGTGTCAGCTTATGTTGTTTTTCAACCCGACCTGGAAAACATTGACACAAACTATAGAGAGAGAGAGAAAAAAAAACTTAGAATATAACACTTATCAGAGAAAGGAAACAATCAATTACCTGTGGATATGCATAAAGTAAAATTTTAGCCATCCGACTGCTTTAAAACTCATCATTAACCTTTTTTTAAAATTGCTTAGGCTATATTCTTTATACTCACTTGATAAGCAGTTATATAGTTTGGGTGCCCAGTACGAGAAACTGCGTGTGAACAATGCTGTCGAATGCCGCGGGATAAGTAAGATGAGTTTATTCCTAGAGGATCTTTGATCGTACTGGCAGAGGAGGCTTAGTTTTGTATAAAGATAATATGGCGCTTTAAGGATAAGGGTCTTATGTACCAGAGATAGGCAATGCAGTTTCCTCAATTTGTTCATCTTAAACCATCCCGATTGGTCAAAAGCGCTACTAATATGATCAAATTTACGGATTCCATAAGAAAATCTGATGCATGAGTTTTGTATCATCTGAATCCGCTCGGCATCACGTTGTAAAAGAGCAGGTCCATAAACAGAGTCACCGTAAGATAATTTTGACAGGATAAGGGACTCGCAGAGTTTAAGCTTGAGCTGTGTCGACAGGACACTTCGACTCGGGTATAACTGACGAAGCACATTATAGGACGCATTGCATAGTTGGTTAACATGTTTAGTGAAGCGTAGCTTGCAGTCAAACCAGATACCAAGGTTTTTGCATTCGTTTACGAAGGATATGTCTTCATTATTCACCATAATATTAATGCGATATTGATTTATTTCACGATTCTTTTTGGGCCCAAATAAAATGCAGCATGATTTGCCAGGATTTAGTTTTAGATTGTGAGCACTAGATATGTCAAAAATAGACTGCAGGTCTTGATTTATTTGATGTTGGCCAAGCATATATTCATCAGGATCGAAGCAGTTATAAAGTTGGGTATCATCGGCGTAATGATGAACGATTGAGTTGCTGGCAGTTTCATGAAAATCACATATATAAAGAGCAAATAAAAGGGGACTCAAAATAGATCCTTGAGGGACACCAAAATTTCTGAATAAAGAAGTTCATATATTGTTTTCATATATGACAGACTGTGAGCGATCAGTTAAAAAGCTCTTAATCAGCGTGCAAGCCGATGATGACAGGCCAAAGTATCTAAGCTTTTTACAGAGAATATTTGGGTCAACCGTATCGAAGGCCTTGCTAAAATCAAGAAGAACTAAGCAGG